TACTAAAAATCAATGGGGTTTTGGGTTTTATTTTTTTTTTTGGTTGGGTACCTCCCAGTATCAAAAAAAAAGGGGAAGGGTCCTTGGGAAATCAGGTCCTTGGGATCGACTGTCTCCAAACATAATAGGGAGATGCCAACACCCTAGGTCAGCTGATTGACAGGACAGGCAGGCTAACACAAGGGAGTCAGGAGGCCAAGGGGAGGAGGAATCCCATTCTTTCTGAACTGGAACTGCCAGGGACAGAGTGGAGCTGAGCTAAGGAGAGAGCAGGGGCCCAAGCTGAGCTGGGGAGCAGGGCCATGTGGACCAGAGAAGAAGCTCAGGGAAAACAGCTGCAGCAATAAAAGCCAGAAAAGCAGCCCGGGAAGCAGGTCAGTACTGGGAGCAGAGCCGCAGAAGCAGCCCAGAGAGCAGATCTGTGCAGGGAGGAGAGCTGTTGAAACCAGAGCCATAGGGGCCAGAGCAGCGAGAGCATGCTGGAGTGGGGACACATTAACTCCTGCGCTAAGTGACCCACAGCAAGGTTGGGGGTTCAGGCCCTCAGCAATCCTGGTCCCAGCCTTGTTGGGATCATGAGGACTCTCCCACACAGAGAGGAGAATGGAAGGGGAGTTCTCGAGGTCAGGCAGGCCTCTGGGTAAGGAGAATGGAAATGAGGCCTCAGATCCTTTCACTAGCACTGACTCTGTGGATGCTGCAGCCCCAGAGGCACCCACTGAGAAAAGTTAGCAGGTACTCAGCACTCACTGGCAGCCAAGCTCCATCCTCTGACTCCTCCTTCCTCCCACATCTCTCACATGCTGGCAGCCCTGCTGATCAATTCCTCTCCCTTCCTTCCAGCACCTCCCACCTGCTGCAAACAGCTGGTTCGTATTGTGTAGGACACTGGGAGGGAGGGGAAGGAAAGCAGCTGAACAGGGGTAGAGGAAGGCAGGAAGGGGACATGGGGGTGGTTGCTTGTGGGAAAAGTGTAGAGTGGGGATGGGACAGGACAGATGTGGGAAGAGGCAAGGTGGGTGCAGAGGGATGAAGGGGGATGGTTGAGCATCCCATGGTGTTGGGAAGGGGGGAAAGCCCAGCACCTACGCTAACTGATTTCACCAGGGCTGAATATAAGCCAGGGAAGTTCTCCATAACAGCGAGTTCATTCCCCCATTGACACATGGTTCTGTGCTCTCTTCTCCCCAGAAACTGGCTGAATGCACAGTGGGAATTAAGCTGCATCCTTTTTGTTACACCCTAATTGATTTAGGAGGTGACTTTCATTATATGATTTTAAAGAAAGATTACACAGACTTGCTGGTTTAATTGTAGAACTAACACTAACTGAACTCTAGTCCAAATCAACATCTGAAGTGGACTTCTACCCTGGCTGCTATGCCCAGCTCTCTTGGTGATGGAATGGATTCTCCACAAACTATATACTTCAGGGCTGCAGTAAATTGCTTCCCTGCCAGTCACACACAGGGTGTCAAA